AACGTGTGATCGTCGGAGAATGTTTTCACATCCTAGTATGTGAATCATAGGCTAGGTGTTTTTTGGCATCACTTTGGTGCACACATATATGCACACACACACATACACACAAGAGAGATGAGTCACACACACACACACACACACACACACACAAAAGAGATGATAGGGTAGCAAGCAGAAGGCTCTCCTTTGAATTATTCTTTTGGCATGATTTATCATTTTTTGTTATTCATTTAAATATTACCTTTATCAGGTTATGATAGTCATTTCAATATCAAAATGTAAGCTTTTATTGGTAACGATGGTTATAATCAATAGCTGAAATTTGTGAGACACTAGGCGTCCTTTTCTAAAAGAATTTTATGTGTCAGGAACCCTGTGATTGGCACATAAAAAATCCAGCCCATGAAGAACGGCTTCCTATAAAACACGCATGCACGCACGCAACCCCGCAGGACTCATTCGTGCCCATGTCTGAAAGGACACTGCCCCCAGGGAGGACCTCATGGGACATGTCACACCACGGCTGGACGGCTCCGCTTACACAGGCGATGGCTGCCCCTGGGTTCGGGGCTGTCTTAAGATGTCACTATTTGAAACTAAGTAGCTTGAGACTAAAACAAGAAAAAAAATAACTCAACGAAAACTAGGAAAAATAGTGAGTCATCCACTTGACGACAGCGTTCCTAAATAACGTCACTGGTGAGATGAGTGTTTCTTCCAATCAAATTAACCTGAGGGCTCCTACCCTCCCCCCAAAGAAACCCCAATAATATATTCAACGGTGTGGTGCTCCGTGAGCTGCTGTGGATGTTAACACCTTCCCTGCATGGATCCTAGAAAAAGGAAAGGCAGGGAGTAGCCACTTACAGGAGAAAGTCTCTACTGGCCAAAGCAAGGTTCAGACCATCGCATTTGTGTGTTTTTTTAATTACTGAATTTATTGTGGTGACACTGGTTAATAAAATTAGATAGGTTTCAAGTGTACGGTTCTATAATACATCGTAAATACACTGGATCGTGTGTTCACCACCCAAAGTCAATTACTCTTCCATCACGACATATCCTGCTTTTCCCCTCATCCCCCTCTCCCACCCCCTCTCTAGTCATCACCACACTGTTGTCTCTGTTTGAGTTGTTGTTTTTATTTTTGCTTAATTCCGCCACCTTTTTCACCCAGCCCAACTCCCCTCCCCTCTGACAGCTGTCCATCTGTTTTGTGTATCCATGAGTCAGCGTCTTATTTGTTTGTTTATTTTGTTCATTAGATTCCACACATAAGGGGAATCACACGGCATTTGTCTTTCTCTGACTGGCTTATTTCACTGAGCATAATAGTCTCCAGGTCCACCCATGCTGTTGAAAAAGGTAAGAGGTCCTTCTCTTTTATGGGCGAGTAGTGTTCCACTGTGTAAATGTCCCACAGCTTTTTTTATCCACTCGTCTACTGACGGGCACTTGGGCTGCTTCTAAATCTTGGCTATTGTAAATAGCACTGCAATGAACACAGGGGTGCATGTATTCTTTTAAATCAATGGTTTGTGTTTCTTCGGATATATTCCCAGAAGTGGGGTCGCTGGGTCATGAGGCAGTGGCATTTTTAACTTTTTGAGGAAACTCCGTACTGCTCTCCACAGTGGTTTCACCAACTGCATTCCCACCCACGTCCCTTTCCTCCACACCCTCGCCCGCACGTGTCTGTGGATTACTGACGGCAGCCGTTCTGACCGGCGTGAGGCGGTACCTCCTGTGGTTCTCGTTTGCATCTCCCTGATGATCATGATGCTGAGCATCTTTTCATGTGTCCGTTGACCATCTGTGTGTCCTCTTTGGAGAGGTGTCTACACAGGTCCTCTGCCCAGTTTTTAATTGGACTGTTTGTTCAGTTTGTGTAAAAGTTCTTTATAAATTTTGGATATTAAGCCTTATCAGATGTATCATTTGGCCAATATGTTCTCCTAATTTTTTTAATCTTATGAAAGTATCTGGTGGCAAATTTGGTGAACTGTCCCGGAGAGAAGCTGCATTTGGGGTCTCGAACCCACAGCTGATAAACTCAGGAATGGAACGTGGCCACCTCGTTCCCACCGCCCCGACAACGGGAAACCCTCCCCTCTCACACAGACTGCGAGGCTCGGTGCGGAAGGCACTGCGCGGAGCTGCTCCTGCCCTGAAATAGGTTCCCTGCCTCCTTCAGCCGCTTCTCAGATTCTATTACCTCGAGGTGAAAGCAAACACAGCTTTCACGGCGGAAAACGATTCCTTATGTCAACATGGAGAGAGGCTCTTTTCAAAACAGATGGTCTAACGGGAAGGGACTTAGCGGAGAACCTGCTGGAAATGAGGTCCCAGCTCTCGAAGACGTGGGGGGCGTTTTGTTTGCCGGGAACGCTCCACCGAGGCCTCGCCCAGCTTAGGGCCCGAGCGGGTGTTTGTCCAGGAGTTCATAAATCTCAGCAACGCCTGTGTGCAGGGCCGCGGCGTGACCAGTGTGCGCGCAGGAAGGCTCGTGCTGTGGCTGCGACTTGGCCGGCTGTGGGACTGAGTGACGGCGCAGAGACTATGAGGGAACAGCAGCTTCCGCGAGCCCCGTGAATGGCGCTACGGACCAGACGTAAACCACCACCGCGATCGTTCTCTCATCGATTTGAATGCTCAGCCCCCCGGGGGCGCCTCGATTCCCCCGCGGCAGTGTGGCCGACGAGACAGTGCCAGCAACGGTCTGCTCGGGGTCTCCTGCCTCCATCCATGGGCACCGTGGAGCGGTCCATGAGATTCTGCATCGTGATGGCATTCCAGGCCCCTCTGGTAGCTCCTGCACCTCCTCCCCTTCCTCCTCCTCCTCCTCCTGACATCATGGGAAGTTGTGGGGAGTGGCATTCAGTCAGAAGCAGAATACAGTGGGGCCTTGACTTACGAGTGTCCCGACTAACGAGTTTTTTGAGATACCAGCTGTCTCTCCGCCGATTTTTTGCATTGAGTTGAC